AGGTCCTGGTTGTTCCAGGAAATACAGACTTGTGCTTGTAGGCAGCGGTAGCGAAAGCTTTGGTGTGTGACTTACTGACACTGGCTTAAGGAATGTCCATGGAAGCAGTCGCTATGACAGGCTGAGTGGGAGCTGATCTGTGGAAGTCCTACAGACCAGCAGGACTTTTGGAACTTGTAAGTCAAGGTAGGAGCAGAATTCAACTGGGTTCTTCAAGCGGATTAGAATGTTTCTATTCAGCTGAGATCTTCCCACTACTTTCCATCGGCTGTAGTAGTTCTTGCTCTGTTGTCTGTGAGCTGGGTGTGCTCGAGGTGTTGTAAAGGACTTGCAGGATTTGGGCTGCGCAAGTGGGAGTGGTTTTTAAGGAGAACTTCTCTATTTCTGCAGGAAACGTGTGTCTGCAGTTCTTTTTCAGGTTTTCCGGGTATGTTTTATGGTTCCTGGCAGGTTTTTGCATTCATGTGCCTCTGTCTTACTGCTCTTTGAACAGCAAAGTGGAAAGAAAGCCCTCGGATACTAAAATAAGTGAGAGATGTGGATTCTTATTTGGATGTTTTTAACGAGTCTGGTCAAGCCACGTTTTCCTCTGTCTGTGCTTCCCATCAGTCAGGCTGGGTTAAAATTCCACCTAGAGTAAGGGCAAGTTGAATACAGTCCAACCACAGAGTGAGTTTGTGTGTCTTTCTGTGCACTAAAAATGCCATCGACACTGAGCTGAGAAGAGGGTGAGGTTTGTAGCTCTGGCTTTTGGGATTGGATTGGTTTGATTGGTTTTAAGTGTGTTTCTCTCTGATTAGAGCAGGTTTTTGGTCTTCCTGTGCCTGGATCCCCTGCAGATGGGGCTGTAAATGCTTGAAGGAGCCTGGTGCAGTAACTGAACTGCATTTAACCAGAGGCAAAACCAGCTCAGATGTGCTTCCTCCCGAGTTGGGAGAACAGGGCTTTGCACACCCCAGTAACCACCTACGTTAGAGTCTTAGGCCTGTTTTAAACCTGCAGGGTCGGCTGATGTCCTTTTCCAGTGCTGGAATCACTGGTGTGTCACGTTGCTCCTGGTTTGTCCTCTCCTGTGCCTGCAGTGATGGAGCACTGTGGCTAATTGGAGGAACACGGGAAAGCTGGATCTAGCTGAGCTTTCCCTGCAGGTGCTGGGTAGATTTGACCTGGTTGTCAGTGGAATCATCCTGCTTGCTTGGAGACCCGTGAGCTATTTTGACAGCTGGAGTGAGCTGACCTCTGATGTATCAGGGAGGAAGTAAACCCAGTGGAGATGAGGATCTGCCCTGGCTGTACTTTCAGGAGGGGCTCTGCCTCCCACAGCTGTATGAGGGAGCAGTGAGCTGCCTGGAAAGCCAAGGTTGGTGGACTGGATAAGGGCAGGGCATGGAAGGGGCAGGAGGAAGTTCTGCCTTTTCCATTTGGCCATCTTGCTATTCCCTTGGGAGGTTTTCATGCTTCCACAGCTGGATTTTTGTTTATGTCACTGCTGCTTCTCCATGTAGTCTCTGAATCACAAGCCTGGCTCTTGGTAAAGGCCCTGAAACTGCACACATCTCATGGCATGCCTTGTGCTAGCAGGGGCGTGAAGGCTGAGGATGAGGAGAGGCAGGGAACAGGGCCACAGGTTGCTGCCACCTCCTGCTTGAGTGAAAGGTGGAGACGGGAGTGTTGGGTGACACATCCTGTGCTCAGTCGCTAGTAGTGAGCTGCCTACCTGGTGTGTGTGGACATGAAGCAGTGAGCTTCCACAGTGCAGCCGAGCTGCTGCGGGTGGCCTGCTTGTGCTCCAGTTATGGAGAGTAGGAATAGGGACAGCATGGAAACAACTCCAGTCCTGGAGCAAGCTGCCTTCCCTGCTGCGCTCTGATTTTTCATCCTATCACAACCCCCTTTTTTCCTGCCTCTTTTCCTTAAGCAAACAGAGCTGAGTGCAATGTTCTGCTTGCTGGGGATGAATGGATCCCTTGTACTCAGAACCTGCCCTTTGTGGGGGCAAATCTAGCGCTGAGTCCCGTTCACCACAGCCCATGGTGACAGCAGCTCGCTGCCCTGTTCCTCCAGGCAAAGAGGAGAGCAGCAGCTCCCTCTGGAGTCCCCTTGGCCGGCTGTGCTGCGGCAGGTGCAGGAAGCCACCACGCCTGGTGGCTTGGGCAGCAGTTGGTGAGGGCACAGGGCCGGTCGGTAGCGGTGCCGCATCAGCCGGTGCTTGCCTGCTGTGACGAGCCTTGTTAGAGAGCAAAGAGGTTTTAGTTGGGGCTGAAAGGCCCGGAGCATGTTCAGGCAGATGCGTGAGCGCCATGTGTTTCCCTCTGCTCCCTGAAATGAGTGATTGCAGCCAGCAAAGGTTTGTGCTTCCCCAAAGCTGGGCAGACTCTGCTGTGTTACTGGTGACAGCTACAAGGGCAGCACTTGTATAAAATAGAATCATGGAATGGTTTGGGATGAAGGGACCTTAAAGCTCATCCAGTTCCAACCCCTGCCACAGGCAGGGACACCTTCCACTAGAGCAGGGTGCTCCAAGCCCCTGTGTCCAACCTGGCCTTGAACACTGCCAGGGATGGGGCAGCCCCAGCTTCTCTGGGCACCCTGTGCCAGCAACTCAGCACCCTCCCAGGGAAGAGCTTCTGCCTAAGAGCTCATCTCAGTCTCCCCTCGGGCAGGTTAAAGCCATTCCCCTTGGCCTGTCCCTACAAGCCCTTGTCCAAAGCCCCTCTCCAGGTTTCCTGCAGCCCCTTTAGGGTTACAGAAGACTGTTACAAGGTCTCCCCAGAGCCTTCTCTTTTCCAGGCAACACACAACAAGCTTCATGGGAATTTTCAGTTTCATCTCCTTGTTGGAGTAAATGTGCTCCAAAGGGAATTGTAGGTGTTTGCATTCCATGATTCTCAGTGTTTGTACTGGTGGTTTTCCAGGCATGCTGGGGCAGTGGCACAGTGCAGGAGGCAGAATCCAGCCCTCGTGTCGGTGCCAGCAGGCTTCTCGTGGCTGGTGTAAATCAAATGCTGAGAGATGCTCATGATGGTAATTTGTTATAGAACTGGTGTTTGAGTCATGCTACGCCTACACCAGAGGGGCTGTGTGGTTCCCTTTGGATGTGTGGTTGGATATTCAAGGAAAGAAACCATTAGGAAGAGATTTTCAGCAGCTCAGCACAGGTTCTGGCTGTATTTGTGGTTTCCTCTGAAATGTATTTAGCATCCATTGGTCAATGAGAAAATGAACATGAGCCGGCTTCAGTGTGTGCTCACAGCCCAGAAAGCCAACTGTATCCTGGGCTGCATCAAAAGCAGCGTGACCAGCAGGTCGAAGGAGGTGATCCTGCCCCCTGCTCTGCTCTTGTGAGACCTCAACTGGAGCATTGTGTGCAGTTCTGGTGTCCTCAACATAAAAAGGTCATGGAACTGTTGGAACAAGTCCAGAGGAGGCCACGAGGATGATCAGGGGACTGGAGCACCTCCTGTATGAAGACAGGCTGAGAAAGCTGGGGCTGTCCAGCCTGGAGAAGAGAAGGCTGCGTGGAGACCTCATAGCAGCCTTCCAGTGTCTGAAGGGGGGCTATAGGGATGCTGGGGAGGGACTCTTCATTAGGGACTGTAGTGAAAGGACAAGGGGTAACGGGTTAAAACTTAAACAGGGGAAGTTTAGACTGGATATAAGGAAGAAGTTCTTTACTGTAAGGGTGCTGAGGCACTGGAATGGGTTGCCCAGAGAAGCTGTGAATGCTCCATCCCTGGCAGTGTTCAAGGCCAGGCTGGACAGAGCCTTGGGTGACATGGTTTAGTGTGAGGTGTCCCTGCCCACAGAAGGGGGGTTGGAACCTGGATGATCTTAAGGTCCTTTCCAATCCTAACTATTCGATGATTCTATCCTAGAAAGCATTTAAGCCCTGTTGGGGTAGCACCAAACTCTTGAGTCACAGCTCAGCCATTCCTCCAGCTCCAGGGGGATCTGCAAGGTTTAGGGGGCAAATTTAGGGGAGGAAAAGAGAGCCCTGGGTCACATTCTAGCCCTGGGTCACATTCTTGCTCTTAAACCTTTATACTTCTTGCCTCATAGATAAATAAACACCTTTGGGCCTCCTCTGCTGCCTGCCTGACTGTGGCTGTTGGCGTGTTCTTCAATGCTCTTTGCTCTGATGAGAGTCCTGCTCCTGTCACGGTGAAGCACCAGACACAGGCACCAGCTGGAGCTGGTTTAGCCTTTGGGGTTTTGAAGTGACCTGGGAGGAAGTGGGATTTGGTTTTACCCATTTTATTGGGGAGGGAGTAGAAGGTGTTTGTTTAACTCCCAGGGCTCAAACACCGCTGGGTTAACAGTGGCTTTAACCCTCGCTGTCTCTTCTGCTGTAGAGCAGTATCTTAGAATTGGGATTTCAACACTGCCATAGAATCTTAGAACCACAGAATGGTTTGGGTTGGAAAGGACCTGAAGCTCATCCAGTTCCACTCCTCCACCACGGGCAGGGACACCTCACACTAAACCATGTCGCCCAAGGCTCTGTCCAACCTGGCCTTGAACACCGCCGGGGTGGAGCATTCACAGCTCCTTGGGCATCCTGTGCCTAACAGTAAAGAACTTCTTCCTTATCTCCAACCTGAACTTCCCGTTTCAGTTTGAACCCATCACCCCTTGTCCTATCACTACAGTCCCTGATGAAGAGTCCCTCCCCAGCATCCTTGTAGCCTCCTGCAGACACTGGAAGCTGCTCTGATGTCACCATGCAGCCATCTGCTGCTGCTTCATGGAAACCAGGTAAACTTCAGCCAGGGAAAATGCAAGTTAAACTAATGGCAAACTTGGGTTATGAACTTGAGAACATGTCTGAGCCTAGGAAGGGGAAATTAATTCCTCTTTATCCCTCATTTTAAAGCATAGGATGATGCACATATACACCAAAACTTTAAGATGCTAAAGCTGCAGCAGCCTTTTCCACAGAAGTGGCTTTAAATGTGCTTTGTCTCCTTGTCAGAAGAGCAGAATAAATGACAGAAGCTGTGTATTTTAAAATTACATTGTTAATAAAATCCTGGTACATTTACATAAATGACAACAATAATGTACAATTAACAAAGCATCCTCATATTACAGCAACAAAAGAGGACCTACAGCTTTGTACAGAGATCGCCGGAGCAGCTACTTGAAAATACTTTCCAAGATAAAGCCTTTTGTGGTAGTTTGCAGTGCTGGTTTTGAAACCTCTCTATGGCTTCCTGGTAATAAATAGGGTTATTGCAGCTGGTGATCTTCAGGAGTGGATGTGCACCTAAAGCACAAACTGAAGCGTGCCCTGACCAACTCGTGTTGGTTTAACTGAGCCTGGACTAACAGCTTTTATCCGTGCATGCAGTCTGCATCTCGTGTAAATACTTGAGGGGTTGAGGGTGCGTCAGGTTTTGATGGATGCCTTGGGAGATGCTGTTGTTTGTTCTCCTTCCCTTCATCTACCTAAGCCATGGCTGTGTTGTGCTTTGGAACTTGGGCCCAGCTGGGCTGCCTCCTTCCAGTGTGTTTAGCTATTAATGGTTGGATTTTAAGGAGCTGTAGTTCTCCACTGCCCACTTGGCTTCCTCTTCTCCCTCACCCACCTAAATCAAATGATGAGCAAATGCTTTTCGGGGGTGCTAACAAAGATCAGTGGGAATATCTGAAGCTCTTTCCTTAAAGCTACTGGTAAGAGCAAGGTGTGGTTTTATACAACTGCCTCCTGTGGTGGCATTACTTAGAGTGCACTCAAAACCATTGCTTCAGACTCAGAACTGTAGAGAAACCATCTCCTTCTAGTTCTCCAAAGACAGCTAGAATGTGGCCTAGAGGGAGTAATCCTGGACCAGAAACATCTGTCTGCTGGGAACAAAAGGATGACGGACATCCAAGTTGAGGCATCTGAAGTGCTGCTGCCTCTATGTAACTGAGCCCACCTCTAGGAACCAGCCAGGTATTCACCATGCTCCCAAGTAGTGTATCTGTGGAAAGAACATCATTCCATGATGAAATGGAATGGCTGTGGAAGCAGAGGCTGGAGGTCAGGGCTTCTAATCCCATATAGCTCCAGAGAGAGAACAAACCATCAAGTTACTTGTTCCTCTGGGTCCCAGGGAGACTTCTATTGCTATTTATGCTATTGGGTAGCTTTTCAGCATAGCACTAGCTCCTGCTGCACCTGAGTCTTTTAGAAAGCATCCCTTATGGTGTCAGCTCTCACAGATAATGCTCAGAAACAGGTTTCTAAGGTAGAGGTGACTGGGGCTATCAAACCCTCGTAGTGAAGGGGTAGAGTGTTTCATCTTCCCTCGTTGAGATGGATCTGTATTTACAACTAGCACAGTGAAACTATGGTATAAAAATACAACCCTCCCCCCAATTCTCCCCTCCTTGCCCCAGCTCAGTTCTTCATCCTGGATTTAAAAAGTGAATAACTTCAGTTAGGATTAGTTTCTACTCAGCTTTGAACATCTACAAGATCTCTCTCTCAAGGTGCAAACAGGTTGGGGGCAAACTTATGTCAGTCTCTTGATGTATACAGATGCTGGTGTTTATTACTACAGTGAAGTAGTTGGTGTGTGCCAGCCTCTGAGTTCAGATGGGTCACTGGCTGAATGGGCAGTGGTCTGTAGGGTTAGAAAACTCCTAGGCAGCCTTTGTACAAGTAAAACATCTACGTGTATGAACTAGGTGGCCGTTACGGTGTGTAGACAGACAAGACTACCTACTAGGTGCTGGGTCTAGGTCAGTTGCCTCCCTGCTCTACAGCCCTGCATTGTACTTGTGTAAATGGCAGCGTTGATCTTCCCTTCGGTTCAGGTTCTTCACTTGCAGCCTCAGTTCCTGTTTGTGCTGTGACAGTGTTTCTGTGACAGTAGTAGCACAGAGAAGCCAACTCCCCCCTGGTCAGCGGGACGAGGCTCAGCCCCTTGGGTGCCTGGGGGGTGTCTGTTGTAGGGGACTTTCAGCAAGATCCAGAAGGCAAACAGGAAAGCCCCAGCTCTGCCTGACAGCACCTCCCCGTGCACACTGAACCAGTGCTCCTGCCACTGCCTTGCTCCTGCTCCTTCACACCCTGGAGGTGACGTACACCGAGTGCAGGCGGGCGGCCAGGGCTGTCTGCAAGTCCCGCAGTGGGTCCAGGCCTTGCACTTTGCTGTTCCTGCTGTAGATCAGCTGCTTGAATGAGTCCTGCTCCAGCAGAGAGCTCATGTGTTTGAGGAAGAAGCCTTCACAAAACGAGGCAAGTTCAGGTGCGTTGTGAATCTGCAGAGGAGAGAAGATGAGTTAAGTCTTTCCTGCATGGCACAGACCCAAAGGATATGCCTGAGCTTCTTATTTCTAGTGCTTTCCCCTTTGATAGTTTCTAAGAAAAAGGATGGCAAAAACAGTGGAAAAACGCTTTGAGGGTAGGACCCTTGATGGCTGATCATTTCCTTTGGTGCTTTTTGCAGGCACAGGTGTGTGCAGGGAGGCATTGAAGCAGCTTTAATTCCTTCCCTGATGGCCTGCACTCCAGCCTTTTCCTCTTAAAGGAGCAGAGAGCAGCTGCTGCTGAAGTGGCCAAGGTACCTGTTTAACTGTGAGAGCTGGGAGTTCCTGTGCTGCAACATGAAACACTGCACTGCCAGATGGCATACACAGCTCAGGGCAATCGGAACACGGTTCATAGGGTGGGAGCTGAACTCCTGGAGGAAGGAGCTGAATGTAGAGGAATAGGGATGTTACACTTCTAAACCACGTGAGGTGGATTTGTGGCTCTGATCTGGCTCCCTCTGATTCAGAACCAGTGGGGGCAGCTCAGTAATAGTGCAATGAAACTCTATTTCAGGATTAAATGTGTGTATGTTCCCCTCTCTGTTTCTGGGAGCTCTGTGCAAACAGTAATTCAAGGAAAAGCACTGAAGGCCAGCAGGGAATGCTCCCTTCCCCCTCTACCACTACATACTGTTAAATTGTAGGGCCTGAAAGAAACCAGCCTGAGTTCTACGGGAAGAGTGGTCCAGCGTGAGCGTCAGGAATTGAAAAGGAACCCTGTGACACAAAGGGGATGCAAAGTAACTGGGCACATCATCATCGGCCCTTTGTGCGTGTCTTTAAGGCATCTGCCCCTGCAAACTTTGAGGAATGGCATAGTGTTTTCTCTCTGATTTTGTTGATAATGTGGGTTATTTGCTGTAGAGTTGAATGCCTGTGTCACGCAATGGTTCATGCTTGTTTTGCAGCTGTAAAGATTGCATTTTAGCAGTCAGAGTGCTAGGAAGGGTATACTTAGTTGCTGTAGGATGATCCACTGCCCCTGCTGCTGGGAGGATTTGGATCCCTTGGGCTTTGCTGCCGTTGCTGTATCAGCCTGCTAAGGCACGTCTCCCTTGCTCTGCAGGGATCTGCATCCATTTCATGTGTGATTGCTTTAGGCAGGGAACACACTGGGGCCGTGCAGGATGGCTTTAACACATCTCACTTGTGGCTGGGGCAGAGTCACCAGCAGAGCAGTGCCCACTCTGGGCCTGTTGTATTTGGTTTCTAAAACAAGCCTGCAGAAAGCCTGCCTGCTGCTGCAGTGTGATTCCCGTATGAGACAGTTGGACACGTACCTTTGCATATTTATAGATGTTAACAGAGTTCTCCATGCTGATCGTCTGGGCACAGAGGATTTCACAGTGTCTCTGGAGGCCATCCAGTTGAAACAGGCTGGCAGCCGACAACAGCTATCAGGACAAGAGAGAAGCTATTTGAGCTCATGAGCCTTGAAAAGCTTAGGGAGGCAGACAGACAGGTTTGATGGTTTCCTCTCTGAATGATCTCCTCCTCCCTGTTTTAATGGCCAAGTCCTCATGAAAGAGCAGAAAGGCCACAGCTAAAGCGGCAGATTTCCCCTCCTAGCAAAGGCTTGCTGCTCCTGCAGGAAGTGTATTTGTGCTGTGCTGTCACCATGACACAGGAGCTGTAGACAGCTCAAAGCCCCCTTTCCTCTCTGAAAAAAATAGTTGTGTGTAGTCTTTAGCTTCAAGCTTGAATTTCATCAGAATACTTGTGACTGAGCAGCATTGTAAAAGGGCCTATTTGTAACTCAGGGTACCAAAAGCTCTGCAGCAATTTCCCTCCCTGCTGCTGTGCCCTCCCCATCATCTGACTGACATAATAAACCATAACTGGTAGTTGTTATTTCCCAGCAATGGTATTTTGAAACTTTAAGCTCATTTCAAAGTGTTAAATACACTCCTAGATTGGAAGCTTGCTGTTAGCTCCTGGATTTTGCCTTTCAAGCTCTGTTTATGCCCCAGTGCACTTGGAAAGCCTTAGAAGGAAAAACTCTCACCTCTAAGATATCAGTGGTGGGAATTTCCATGGATTCTGTTCCTCCATAGTATAAATACTGCATCAGCATCTGAAATGGGAAGAGGGCCAGGATGAAGCTGTTATCACGGAAGGTGCAAGGGGCTGTGAGTGGCTGTGCTCAGGAGCCGTGGGGTGTGCTGGCTCTCGCCTCTGCTGCTGGGCTTTTCTTTCTAGTGCTGCAAATCTGCTGCTTTCCAATGCTCTTTTCTTCCTCAGGCTCTGAAAAGAGCCCTGGTGAGGGTTTGATGCTGAGGGTGACAGCGTGTCTCTGGGCAACACGGATGTCCTTGTAAAACTGTGTCTTGGATCCGGTCTGGTTAAGCCTCGCAGGCAGGTCACACGCAGAGCTGCCAGCTAGAGCTCCAGCACTGCAACTGCCACACCATGAGCATGTGTGTCTGAGGGACCTCCCAGCCGCCTGCCTCCCCTGCTGTGCTTCTAATCAGCTTCCAGCCCCCCATGAGGGCCAGAGGAAAAGGCCTAATTGTTTGCAGGGAGAGCAAGAGGCAGCTTCTGCTCTTTGATCTACATGAGCACACCCCCAGTGAAACGGTACTGTCCTATCTAGGGAATGATTAGGTTTGGGGTTAGAAAGAGAAGTCATTCCAGTGACCTGGGTGCTGTGTAAGCAGGTGTGGGGGCTGTGCTGCGCCATTTCTAACAGTGGTGGGAACAGAACTAAGCTGCTATTTTTGTAATTGCCTTATTTGTATAATAGAATTACAGGGAGCAAAGCTGCTTTCCAGCAGAGCTCTAAGAAGAACTTAGATCTCTGGTGGCTCAACATCCTCTGTGCACCGTAATTGAAATTGCTGTAGAATGCCATCAGCTTGTCTGATTTTCACTGTCAAATTGTTTAATTCTGTGAAGTACTTCTCTGCTTTAACTCTTTGTGATCCTTTGCCCTCTCCAGTGAAGCGAAAGTTCATCTTCAGAGGCCTCCTGATGTCAAAATGTTGTTTAAGGAGGTTTGTTTCAATACCCTCAGTTACGTTTTCTTGTTTTCTGTCATGACCTGAGCAGCAAAATTTGGATGTCCCCTGTGCAGCACGGAACTTGTATAACCCCTTTTAGGCAGAACAGGGATGTTCTCAGGGTCAACTGCATTCCCTCTCTGTGAGATGACAGTGCTGCTGACCAACAGCTTTGCTGTTTTGTTTGCTTATAAAAAGAGAAGAAGAGTACCTCAGGCCTGAAGTGATGGAGTTACAGAACCTGTTCTGCACCTCAGATCTCCCTGTTCCCTACCTTTTTTCCAAGCCTGAAATGCAGATCTGGGAGGCTGGAACAGCTTCGCTATTGCATTTCACAGACTTGTTTTTTGCCTTGGGTGTGTGTTCAGTAACCTATTTTCCCTCCATCACGAATGAAATTCCCTTAGGTCCATTAGATATGGAAATGTCATAAAAGCAAAGTGCAAGTCTCATTTCTGAGCCTTTCTTGAAAGGGTCACCAGTGACTTCTGATCACCTGATTTGAATTGATACGAAGCCTGGCAGTCCACCTCTTGCTGTAAGTTTACTTTTTGCTTAGCACACCATGAAGATGGTGCTGTAAGAAGTACGGAAATGGTGTCTTACAAGTGTAAGATTACTTTTAGTAGCAGACTAGTTTCTCCTGCTTTAGCGACGAGTCAGCTGCCTAGTAAGAGATTAAGAATACAGGCTGGAGGCTTCTGTTTTAAGGTTGGTTCTACCTGAAGAGTTTTGACAAAGATCAGAATATTCCTGAAATACTGGTGTGTTGAAGTGAACTCCACCTCTACTCATAAATTACCCCTGATGTTAAGCTCTGGCTTAATCTTGGCTTCCAAGTATGTGAGAAGATGAAAAGAATAAAGAAAAGGTAAGATACATACCTTGAAAATGTTGTATTTCATATCACTGATTTCGACAGTCTTACTGCCATGGCTGTCATGTTCTGTTTTATTGGTCATGAGCGTCTTAAACCTGAGAATGGTTTTAATAGGTTTCTGTGTTAGCAGATCATATATTCATTGCCTATTGACAAACAGCCTAAGCAAGGGGAAAATAAAGCTCCTTCCTTCTTCTTTGCAAGTTGACAATTAAAACCTTTTGATTAAATGACAGTTTAGAACTTCAGAAACAACTTAACCTGTCCCACCCTAGAGTAGTTGCAAACCACTGTTACTAAGCCAGTAACACAGAAACTGATCACTGCAAGCTGGAGCAAGTGTAGCTCCAGCTAGCAAACTCTGAGAGGGGGCATGGAAAGGCAGTGAATGGCTGGACATGTACACTCCAACTCCTGTAAGAGTTATTAGGGATAATTACTGGTTAGTTTATGTCAGTAGAGCTCTGGGAATCTCTAACACTTATTAAGAGTAGCTTAGAAACTCATCTTCACTTTCCTACTATTGTTAACAGTAGTAAAGATGATATGGCTGGTCCTGCAGCCCTGAGTTATGGTCTGTTGTCTGTATCCTTCACAGCTGCCTTACTGCAATGAGAGCTGGAAATACAGATGAGTCTAAAGGGTCAAACCTTCCTCTAATACTTAGCTGTGAAAATCAACTCACCTGTTGGATGCAGTAACCAGCAGGACTTTGTGTGCATAAAACAGCTTTCCTTCTACTAAAAAAGTTACATCAGACATTTCCTTATTGTTTAGGAAGTGAGGATCTGTTGGGGTAAGGGATAAAAAATAAAGAGGGTGAATATTCTTTGAAACTGTGGATGCTGAAAGCCAAACATCACAAGAACTTTACTGTTGAGGCGAGCCTCTTACCCAGCCGAGCTGGCAGTGTCTTCTGGATCTCAGGAATGCTGGGTATTGGACTGCTGCCATAGCAGTGGGTGAAGATGGATGCAAGCTGCTGATTGATGGAATCATTCTGTAAGGAGGATGGAACAGGAATCATCAATTGGCACTTTGCATGGAGCGGGTTTCAAACATGCTATAACAGCTCATTTTTAGGCTCATAGCAACTGCACTCTGCAAGAACAACCTCTCAACAGAGTAATGGGCCGCCTATATCTTGCTTTTCATTTCAAGGACAGTACAGTGTACACTGTAGTGAGCAACTACAGAGGTGTCTGGAGCTGTACGTACTCCTCACTCTCCGCTGTCTGTGCATTACAGCTGTACCCCCTCTACATTTGGAGGGCAGGCATCCCCCTCCTAACTCAAAGGGCAGCAGCCTCTCAGAGGAGAACATGGTAGAGACTGGGTGAACTTACATGCAAAATGGGACAGCTAAAATAGGGAACAGGTTTGTTCTAGACACGCACGAAGGGCAAGGAAAAAACAGTCATAGGCAACATTTAAATAAAGAAAAAAGTAGATGGGAAATGTCACTGGACAAAAGCATTGTTCAGAAAACTCCTAGAAGATACTACTCGGAGAACCTGAATTTCTCAGTGCTGTATTGGTCACTCTTCCTGTTATGTTGACAGGGTTTCAAAAGCCAGTTGCTGGACTGGACTTTAACAGTACAACTTCTGCTTCTGTTGAAATTAATATCTTTACTGTGATGGCTGCATACGAATTTAGATAATACTACCCTAATTCATTAGGGATTTTGCATGGGCATTCACTCATCATTGTGTGCTGCCTTGTACAACAGCAAAATCCTTTGTAACACTTTGTTACAAAACTAATAATTACCTTGCTGGTTTTGAGGATATCGAACATGAGCTGCAGCCCTTCATTAACCAGCTCTTCATTGTAGTCCTCTTCTTTAATGGTGACAAATTCCCGGAGGAGGGTCTGTACGACTGAGTAACGGGACTGGTAGAAGGTTGTCCGTAGTGACTCAATCCACACGTGGAGTTTCCATGGGACTCCTGTAGCCACAGCAAAAAGGACAGTGAAAGATGATGATATGCTGAAGTACCTATGAGTAGACTGTCCTGCTGCTATTACTGCCTCTTTGCAGCACTGAAGTAGATTTGTACCTACATCCTAACAAGAGATACATTTGTCTTACATTATGAAAGATAACTGAACTGAGTCATTAACAGTAACTTCTCTAGGAAAGGATGGTACCAGGACCAGAGACCCTCTATTGCGTATTTAGCTTCATGATTACTCACAACCACAAAACAAATTTGAACTGAACTTGTAAGAATTCCTAACCCTCCACAACCATGGTGTGAGGTCTTCCCTCCTGGTTTACCTGTAACAATCTACACACACAAGCTTCAAAGCTTCTCTTTCCTACCTTTAGATCAAATCTGCTCTTTCACATTCAACCATTTAATCTGTCATGTAACCTCTGATTTTGAGACCAGCCTCTTTGAACAGTGAATTTTAGGTGTCAGAGTATCTGACAAAGAGACATGCCCCTTGCTTTTGAAACTTGGGAACAGAGGATCCAGCCAAAACTAAGGGATGTCCTAGATCAACAGGAATTTGAAAAGAACTTGTGAGGAGCCTTAAACACTTACATTAGACAGCAGGCTCCTATGAGCTTGGGATAGTTGTGTAGTTGGGGTTACAGATTCTTGTCCAAATGAAAGCTTTTTACACCCTAAATGAGCACAGTGCTTAAAACAAGCCCCTTACCAAGTGCCCTGAGTTCCATGGTGATGTCGACGTAGCCGTGCTCAGCACTGTAATACATGGCCTCCTGCAGAGCCTTCATTCTTGTTTTACACAGCCTGACTTGCCCCTCACTGGAGCTGCCCTGGCTAGAGGTGTCACTCTCCACTCCCTCAGCTAAAATCTCCTCCAGGGAGAGGACATCACCCTTCAGTTGCTGGGGCTGGGTCAGGAGCTTGCGCAGAACATTCCTGAGGAGGAAGAAGATATCACTTAGTAATAAATAAAATAGCAACAATTCAGGCAGGACTGGGGTGATCTGGGTTTAGGGAGTCTGACTTTGTAGTGATTTCCTTCTCAAAGATATATTTCTAGCTGGCAATATGGAACAACATTTAAGCTATTTCTCCTTATCTATCCTGCATGCTGGAAATGGATACCTTGGTAGCAAAGGCATGGAATACACTCCTGTACTTCAGCGGTACCAGAGCCTATTTCAGAGTGTTAGGGCAAAGTGGGTTTTATTGCAGTCTATACTATGGCATAGAAGCACACTTCCTTCTGCCAGGCCTGAGTGTGGTAACAGCTTCAGCTCTGAAGTAAGATTTACTGGTGTCTGTTGGAACTCCTTCTGTTTTCCCAAATGACCATCTTCAACCACTGTTAAGTTGTTTTAGTCAGACCCACTTCCTGGACATGCAGGACTATCTTTTGTTATGGTTTCTGTTTACTGATGGAGGCAGTGGGGTTCTAACAGACACCAGTAAATCTTACTTCAGAGCTTAAGTTTTTTGGCCTTGAGTTTCATGGTTTACATGGTTAGATGTTGCAGAAGATTGTGGGAGGGGAAGAGAACTGGGAACAGAACAGTGTTTGTGTATTTCTACACTGTAAATAACTGCATTAGGCCATTCCAGCTTTGCAGAGTTTGGGCCTCATTTGGGCTTGGGCCATTTTCCCTGGTGTATCCAGATGTGCAGTGTACCTGGAGGGGCAGCTTTGGCACCACTGTAAAGCACAACTGTGTTCAAGCAAGGTAGCTGCCACTAAACTAGCTGTTGAGACCCTGTGGGTAGTTATGGGCAGTTTCAGGCTGTTTGAACTGGCTTCTTACACGAATATTATTGTTCTGGGAACAGGATTTCTGGATGACTTTGTAAGTAATGTCTTATTTCTAAATAACTACCCTGAAAATTGGGCTGGAAAGCCCAGGCTGGCTCTTCAGCATTTTAATGACTGATCTGGTCACCCATCCAAAAACCAGAGATATAGTCAACTAAATTCTGCTGCAGGTTATTTTTACCACCTTAACGTGATTAGATTCTGACTCAGAACATGAACCACAACCTCATAACCTACCCAGAGGTGGATCTTAGTCAGCTCTCGTATGGCTTAGCACCACCTCCTACTCTCTGTGCTGCAGCGCTAGACCAGCAAGTGAGAGAGTAAGAAAGAGTGAACAGAGATCTTTCTATTGTATTTTGTGCTTTAGACTAAAATATAATCCCTTTCTTTTATCAGTTACAGTTGCTGAATAATGAAAGTCTTACATCATTTTTTTCTTCAAAGGGTGTAACAGTAACTACCAGTTTAAAGAATCTTTTGGTTCCCCAAAATGCTCAAAAGGCATTAGAACAGCCTGAGAAACTGTGCTGCACTAAAGAATGGCTGCTGTCAGGAGACTCTTAACACAGTCTTCTGAACTGCCCACCCAGGGATTTGGGTAGAAGATGTAATATAAAGTCACATAGGAATGCCTACAGTGATAGCCTCAGAAAACAAAACCTATTCGGAGCATGGACAGAGCTTTACCTGTGCCCGTGTGCAGCTGAGTGACTGAAGCAGTTCATATCTTCGTGCAGTGATGATGACATACCATTGACTTCTAGCATGCTCAGGAGTGGATCAGCTCCCCTACTTAGCAACAAGCTGACCAGCTCGTAGTTCCCTAGGAAAAATTGATAGAAACATAATGATTGCACATCTGCTACACCTCTCTGAAGCATATCACATAGGACTGGTAACACACACTGTACCAGCAACTTCTATGCTACCAGCTGAGGCTTTCAGAGCATCCTGCAAGCATGGATTAGGCCTCATAATACCTCAGAGAGAGAAACTGAGTCACAAAGCACTAAAATTACTTAAGAAGGCACAACTATAGGCAGAATGAAAAGGGAAATAAACTGGTCTGGTGCTTTCAGTGCACACCAGCAGAGCTGTATGCAACCAGTTCAGCTAGATCAGAGTCTCAGCTGTTTGGCTGGTGGAGGAGGTTGAGAGAAGGCCAGAAGGGAGCTCTTCTTTGCTGCACACAGTGGCCACAGCTTCATAAAACCGCCCTGCAGCCAAGTATATTGGTTCAGGCCATGTTCAGTCAGGTCTCCTTTCCACCCTTTTCATTTGATGTAGTAGTGAGTTGTGGCAGCAGACACAGCACAATGAGTATCTGTCATGGGGGAGGGGAGGAAAGGCCACTTCTTATCCCTTCAATAAATCTTGGAACAGAGCAAGCCAGAGTCTTGTCTTCATAAATACACAGTTATGAAGCAAAAAGAAATTAATGGAAAAAACAGAAACAGTTAGAGGTGAAAAGTGTTGAAAACCAACAGGTATTTTAGGCAGGCACAGACTTGCTCACAGAATGCTAAACTCTTCTGAGGACAGGTAGAAGAAATGTAGGATTTTACTTGTCTTTAATAAATTAATGGAAAAATTTCTTTATACAGCAGTTATTTTTCTTCAGGCTGACTTGAAATGTGTTAATTTTTGCATCTGGAAGTTATTTAGATCCACAACATGCCTGGACTAGACAGTGCCCTGTGTGAAGGGGCTGTTCCAGTCAGCTGTACTGGGGCGGCTGCTGGCAGGGGTAAGTGTTGGGACCAGCAGCAAAACAGGCACTCAGTGCCCATTAAGCTGCTGCCACATGCCAACAGCTGTTAGCTGCTGCCAACCCAGATGTGTTCCTACTGGTGTTTTAGAAATGAACAAAATGCTGCCTTTTTAGGAGCCAGCTCACTGTGGTACCCGTTTGGTGTCTTTACTATACTTAACAGTAGCTTAAATGCAGTGCAAAGTGGCTCCTAGCATGTTTTGCAGGCCCACACATGAACTGGTTGTAGTTATTCTGTGGTAGCAAAGAAACAGAGCATGTGGAGGCTGCATGGAGCTTACCTGCTGCTGAAGCCAGCTGAAGAGGAGTCTCAGCATAGTTGTCTTCACTGTTAACAGCAGAGCCCTCGACGTGAGCACCAGCATCCAAGAGCAGCTGCAACACACACATGAAAGAGTTGAGAAAAGAGCAATTCAGCAGGACAAAACAGAAGAGGCTGTGTGTAAAACAGCAAACCAGCAGATTCACAGGGAAGGGTGCATGCACACAAAGGGACTACCTCAAAGGCTAAAGCAATGCATCTGTTACAAGGCAAATTTCTCTTGCATTTCCTTGCTCAGCCTAGGGCTAAAGACTCCACATGAATGTCAGGTTAGAGTTTTCTTCTTTCCTTTTCCTTTACTGTGCTTTCAGTATTGAGTTTGTGCTGAAAAGGTGCTCAGCTGGCAGCCAGGAGAACATCACCTCTTTGTTTTTGTTTTAATCTCCTTTATGAACGTGGTTTTGCAATTGTAATTGCACAACTCCAAAGAGCTCTGCAAGCAGAGCTTCTCCTCAGTGCAGGAAGTCCATCTTATTAAGTTTCATGCTGTGTGCAGGAAACAAGGTTCTTCCAGGGAATTAGCCCTGGAGGCCAAACATGCCCCTTGGTCTCTCTTGCCCAATGGAGCCTGTGTAAGGAGGTCCTGGCAGCTGCAGTAACCTGCCACACACAGAACTTGCTTTCAGTGGACACACTGAGCTGCTGGCAAGGGAGATCACCCCCAGCCAGATGAAGGGAGAAGATGATAGGGACCTTTTCTGGCCAGGTAGGGCTGGCAGACAGCATTGGAGCACCCAGAGCATGGATGTAGTGATAAGGAGTAATGGGCTCAGACTTGAACAGGGGAACAAAGTATATGCTGTGGGTGGTGAGGTGCTGGCACAGGGTGCCCAGAGAAGCTGTGGCTGCCCCATCCCTGGCAGTGTTCAAGGCCAGGTTGGACGGGGCTTGGAGCAACCTGCTCTAGTGGAAGGTGTCCCTGCCCATGGCAAGGGTTGGGACTGCATGAGCTTTAAGGTCTCTTCCAACCCAAACCAGTCTGGGATTCTATGTGCATCACCATCAGCAGAGGTTCTGCTGGGTATAGGCGTCCAGCTGGTTCTAGTCTGTACCACTGCCACAATCTAACGGCTCCAGCTACCCCTAGTTAGTGACGACCTTGGCCTTGGCCCACCTAGCACATACAGTCACATTTTACTATAAAACATTTGGCAGAGCACAACTGCTGGTTTGTTTCTCTATTGAGATGCCAGCTATTCCATGCAAGTTTCCAATTGGAAAGGCAATTTTACACACCCATTTTGGCAGAAGCTGATGTCTACCCTTAGAATAACAACTGCTGAATAAAAAAACCTCCTATAAGGTTTAGAAGTTTGAACCGAAATTAAAGACATTGTGGGTCCTGCAGTCCAACATGAGCTTTGGTATGCTTGGCTGCATCTCTTACCTCACATGTAAATTCAGGCTGTCCAACCTTTGCCATCCCAAGGGCTGCTCTGGCAGTTTCCCAGGTGGAATCTAATCTTTGTCTTTATTTACACATGCACATCGACAAAAAATGAGGGTGTGCAGCCTCCCTTTGCTTGTATCTTTTCTTTTTCCCTCTTTGAGCAGAACATAATTCAATTCACCAGCAACTAACTATCTGCTGTGACCAGTTTTGGATTTCTCTTGGGACTCAGGTAGAATTTCCAGGAGTTCACCCCATTCTGTTGTCATTAATTCCCCAGCAAGGGGTGCAGGGAGGATGCAAGAGGTTCAAGTCAAGTCCCACGAGAGCTTATCTTGTTCATGCAGTTCTCAGGGATTATAAAGGAAGTTACAGCTGATTTGCTGCTGTTAGAGCAAAAAGCAGAACTTTTGCATATGCTAAGGTATAAACCAATTCACATCTAATTTCAGAAGCATCCTGATCAAGCAGTTGACCTATAACCACGCCACATGAAGCACCAGTTTACCTAATACTGGCAAGAAATGGCTGTGCACATTGCTCTGGAAGTGGCAAGCCTCAAACCAATACTGAAACCGAAGAAAAATAAGGGAACACACAGTGTTTTGTTACCTAGGCCTTGCTAGGAATTGTGTCCTCAATTCACAGTTCCCAAGAAAAGCATTGGTTGCATTCTCCTTGTTTTCAAAACATGCCATTTTTCACCGGTTTTTAGAAGGCTTCCACCAAACCCCACATGGAGCCTGTGATGCACCAGTGTTTGGGAAGCCTGAGAGCGAGGGTGTTGCACTGCAGACCCTCTGCATCTCCTGTAAAGATGACCAACCTAGGGATTCCCTCTGCTTACCTGCACAACAGAGATGTGCCCGTGTAACACAGCAAAGGTAAGAGCGGTCCAGTGCCGGCTGTCAGGATGAACTGAAGGGTATCGAGGAGAGGTACTGGGAACCTGGGGGAAGGAACCAGGTAGTTATTAACCACTGCAGCCTACCTGCCATAACCTTCAGGCTTGTACATAACTGCCTTTTTCCTTTGGAAGTGACAACCCCAGGGAATGGTTACTTAGGCCATTTAGAGAACACTGTTCGCACCAGTCACTCCATCCAGTCCCCTGGGCCTTTTTAATGGGCTTATTGGTTTCTCCTACTGGCAGCTCTTTCAGGAAGGAAAAAGCCCCTTTACTCCCCCCCATACCTATTAGACTTGCCAATGCCAATCATAATTGGAGCCATGGAGTGCTCCAAGAGGTTTTGAAGGTTTTCCTCCCCCTCCCAAATCCCTGAAGCAATGGTTTCTGAAAGCCACGCTTTGCTCAGAAGCTTCCATAAAGGAAGCCTGCAGTTGCTAGGAAAGATTTCATAACCGCTCTTGTTATTTACAGATGAATAATTATAGGCAGAGGGTCCTCGGTTACTCACTGGTATATCTAAATTGGCTCCAGCATCTATAAGCATTTGGACCATGGCTTCATCTCCAGCAGCACAGGCGTACATTAGCGGGGTCATACCCTTCAGGAAGAAAGAAGAAGGAATAAAAGAGAAGCTTTATTTCTATACCTATCAACAGGGACACTGTCACAGACACACGCTGAATTTTAAATGTACTGAAGAGCATGTGTGTGCATGTGCAGGTGTGCGTGTGTGTAGGGACAGCTTATGTGTATGCTGAAAGCATGCTGGTTTCTCTGCAGAATGGGCACAATGTACTAAGTGATGTGGACAAAACATCAGGGGCCTGCGAGAATAGAAAAGGGATCACTGAAAATCCCAGCCCTGTTTTGTCCACAATTCTTGAGCTTGCTCATAGCTGCCAAAAGAGAAATATCATCTCTTAGATCATATGTAGCCAGATGAACCAAGAGCAGAAAACAACAAAAATACACAGGATTAATTTATTTGGCAACTTATCCCCATTGCTAAAACCCTATTTGCCACAATGTTTCAGCATTTCAATCCCATAAATCTCTCCCTCTCTACTTAACCATCAAACCACGACAGCTCAGAAATGAGTTATGAGAGAAATGAGCCTTACTTAAGGAGTTCATTGCAGAAGTAGCCAAGGACAGAAAGGAAACAGCCCACTAAAATCCATTCCTGCTCCCATCCTACAGCTTCTTCCCCCCTTAATTATTGTAAGCATGTCAATTTTTCACAGACAACATCTCTGATCCTCACTGTGCAATAACAGCTTCATCTTCAGAGAGGAAAATGTAAAATGGAATTGCATATCACACAGAGGAGTCTGATCATGTATCTGCAAAGGTGTCTTTTCCAAACAGCCACAATTCCAAGATTCCAGCAATTGAGGCAGTCACACACACTGCCAAGATGGGGTGCAGGGGGAGATGGGTTTGGCTTTTGTGGGGCTTTGGAGGATTCACGCTCATTACAGACAAGTAAACTTCACTGAGAATTTAACTCAGATCTGCAGGCACAAGCCTGTATTTACTGCCCCAGTCAGGGTTCTAAAACTAGAGGTCTATATAGATTTACTCCTTTCCTTTTCCTTTCCTTTCCCCTTTTCTTTATCTCCTTTTTAATTTTTAGTATCAGTTGTGCATTCCCTGCTGGCTCCTCAGTATGGAAAGAGAAGAAACTTTTCCTGAACACCTCAAACCCTGTGAAACCAGGGTGCTGCCTGGTCCCCAGTAGAAGTGAATACAGGGTCCTGCTCCAAACTCTGAATATATGAATCTGAATATATGTTCTGAACATATGTTCTCTTCCTCTAAAAACACACATGTTCTCTTCCTCTAAAAACTCTCCATACACATACATGTAGAAGTGGATCTGAACACCCACCTCATGGTGAGCATGGACACGCTCACAGTATGGAGGTGGTCAAATCTGAACCTGGATGTAAAGCCTACAGGTTAAATTAGTTCAATGGTTCTGTCTGTTGTAGGATTTGCAACCACAGCTGTCAGGTGGGAGATGATCATACCAGCCTGCAATGCCTTGGAGATGCCTGATGACTGAGCAGTTTGTCAAGAGACTCATGACCAAAAGAAATACAGACATACCAACTGAGCTTACCAAGTGCCAGCATTAAACATTCTATCCTATGAGAGGACAGAGACCTGCTTTCTGTTGCCAAGCCTAAGTCAGTTTTCCCAACTTTGGACATCTGGCTTTGGCTTATTCCTTTATAGGAAGGGCAAAGCAAGCTAACTGCAAAGTTCAGATTTGAATCATGTAGTGACAGGACAAGGGGTAACGGGTTAAAACTTAAAACAGCGGAACTTTAGATTGGATATAAAGAAGAAATTCTTTACTGTAATGGTGGTGAGGCACTGGAATGGGTTGCCCGGGAGGTTGTGAATGCTCCATCCCTTGTGGTGTTCAAGGCCAGGTTGCACAGACCCTTGGGTGCCATGGTTTAGTGTGAGGTGTCCCTGCCCATGGCAGGGAGGTTGGAGCTGGATGATCTTAAGGTCCTTTCCAACCCTAACTATTCAATAATTCTATGATCATAGAATCATTGAATAGTTTGGGTTGGAAGGGACCTTAAAGATCACCTAGTTGCAACCCCCCTGCCATGGGCAGGGACACCTTCTACTAGACCAGGAGGCTCAAATTTGGTTTTGTATTCCAGCCATAGCAGAGCTGACTGCTAGAGTTTGGATTTAACTCTGTCTGGGATTGGTAGTGCCATGGAGGACACTTGCTTTGCTGCACAGATGGGTTGCTCCAGAATCACTGGAGAATTTCAGAGCAACAATATCTCCAGAGGAAGCCTGTCTTGCTCTCGCTGAGCAGTGCCAAAACACCGCTTTGAGACGTGGGAGCAGTGTTCTGCAGAGAACACGGAGCCACCAGCATGCTACGATCCTCCTGTTCACAGTAGGACTGGCTGGAGGATGACATCAATAGGATGACAATGAGACTATAAATAAATGACAGCAGAAACTTCTCTTTGCAATGAGTTGCCTACAGAATGCAGGGTCTTTTATATACACAAAGGCCAAACAGCTCCCCGTTGGCTGAAGAGAGGTAAGAAACATCCTGCAGTGAAGTGATTGTCTTGGCACCAGTGTCTTTGGTGTCAGGTCAGTAAGGCTCAAAATGCAAAACAAAATGCTTTAAGAGAACAAAAAGCCTCAGGGTGACAAAAACAGGAACTGCAAAAACTTATGAGGGGAAAAAAATATACAGGAAGTAAGTGGCAAACCTTCCAAATATAAATCTGCCACCTCTGTCATTTTAATAGTCATTATCAAAGGCACCTATGATGTATCACCCCACCTCTGTGACTACAAAGCTTCTTACGCTGAACATGTAAATAAGGCAACTATATACCTTGATATAACTTGTGCAGTAGTTTCTGCTTATGTGTGTGTGTGTGTAGTCACACTTTTAAACTGCAGGACTGTGGAAAGCACCATGGAAGATGTGCCAGCTTCAGAATTCAATCTGAAATGCTGCTGCAGTAAATGTTGTCTATGAGAAAACCTCTCTGCTTGAACATAAATCCTTCCTACTGCTAAATATCCTATTGTTTCTTAGACATGACAGCTCATTCCTATTGCTGTGACAGCTATAACGAGTGTTTATTTGGAGGAGGTTGGTTTTTTCCTTAAATTAAAAGCTAATGCCATGCATTGAATGATGCCCCAGAGAACACGCTCTGCTGTTACATGATGGGACTGACAGCACAAGCACAAGCAGCTAAAGACTCCCCAGACTACCAAATCCCTATGGTACAGTGTAGCTGAGCAGGAAATAGGAAAAAAATCAAATAACAGACACATCAGCATGATGGACTTTCAACAAAGCTACTACTGTCTGACACCAATGCCACTGGGGTTCTCAGTGCTGTTGTATGTTGGATTGTACTGACATGTTTAACTCACTTTGCACAGACAGCCTGAAAACCATCAGCCAGTAACACCTTTTGGTCGTTCATCACTGACCCAGAGTGGATTTGGGCTGTTGAACCAGAAGAGAGTGTCACTGGCAAACACCACTTTGTTTTGACATTAGCATTAAGACAAAATCAGACTTTGCAGCCTGTGTATTAACCTGTCTTCTATCAGCGCCTGAGACACACCATCCAAGGAACAGACCTGCATTCCAGCTGATAAACAACTCCCTCTGGAATTTGATGGGTTTCTTGGGGCTGGTGTGAGGGTGGTGGGTGCAGTTTGGGGGTTATTTTATTGTTATTTTCGGACTAAAACACAAGCTAGAATTAGAAAAGCCTTGGAAAGGCAACTAACATGACCCTGTGTATTGATTTGCCACATGGAAAGGAACATGCAGAGACTCTGTGCTCGTGTGTTGTTATATGTCATACCTGATCATCCATGGTGTTCACCCCATCAGGTCCCAGTGCATCGATGGCTTGGTTGATCAGATCTGTCCTTCCGCAGTTTAGCATTCGGAAACCCAGATCCTGCTGGAATTTTTCAGTAGCAGCCTTAGCATCCAGTCTTCGGAAGGAACTAAAGCAGCATTCAGGTCTGTGGAAGACAAAATCATTTCTGGATTTCTACTTTTATTTTTAGCCCCATCTCCTACAGAAATCAGGATTATGAATTTCCATGGCTTTACCTATTGCCTTCCCCACTGTGTCATCATTTCTGAGCAATCTGGCTAACTTCACACATTGGAGATGGAAGTTTTAGCTAGTTTAGAGACAGTAACTTCATGTAAGCACTGGAAAAAAAATGTAACTAAAAGGGTGTCCAAGTAAAGAAGCCTCCTTGGTGCTTTTCTCCAAGGAAAGACAGGAAGAAGTTCTTATTCCTTGCCAAGAGTGGTATTTTCCACCCAGTCCCACACTACAAGGGTAGCTCTGGATCAAGGCACTGCTTCTGCTACATCTTATCCCAGAAAACAGGAATGGGGTGCTGGAATATGCCTGTACCATACTAGGCACCAAGCATCCAGGCTTACTGCAGCAGCAAGGTTAATGTGATGGGACCAGAGTGACAGGAAAAAAAACCTGCAGCAACCAGGTTTCCTTAGTTCTGTTCTCTCAAAAAACCCACCAAAATCCCATTTGTTTTAAATAATGAGCTTTATATATTTTGGGCATTGTATTTGTATTTCTTTGCTTGTTATAGGCTAATCTATCAAACATATGCAAGAACACATTGTAAAGGAAGATAAAGAGGTGGAGAGAAAGCGTATCTACTAAAATACCAGTACAGTGCTAGGATGAAACAGTGATGCTGTCTGCCTACCCGATTAGCTATTATTTTGCAATAAGAGACATTTCTGAAAGAAGGTATCAATCCATATTCTTTTCTGGAAAAAAATAACCAGAATAAAAAATATGATATCAAAATCAAATTTAGGTAGTGGAATATTCTCGACTCTTTTCCAATGCCTCAATAAAAGGAAGTGTCTTAACATTTCTATGAGGCTCTACTAAACCCTTATCCCTCAGATGACTATCAAAGGACCTTTATCTCATTTGGAAGGAGCCCAGGGATTACTGTAAGTCCTCTCCTTATCTGCTCAGAGTCTTCTGAATTCCAACCCTGCAAGTGTATCTCCTTCACTGAAGAAACATTGCTAAATTGGAGGTGTTTTCCTATCTCAGCTGGGCATTGATGTGGTCAGCCCTTTGATGTTATTTCAGGGTGAATGCCTTCTCTACTAGTTGTCTGGTTTTCAGTGTAGGCTCTTGTGCAAGCTCTCAGTGAGTGAGATACCAGCCTTCCAAGTTCCTTTGAAAACTGAGATGCTTTCAACAAGGCCAACCTCTTCTGGAAACTTTGTGCAGCCTGTCAGATAAGTATAACACTCATCGCTTCATGAAGAAGATTCAGGATGAATCTTATTCACATTTTAATTCAGCTGGTCATTTCTTTAATGCTTCTGAACTTGCACTGATGGTGGGTAACAAATGGTGAGCAGATGCTATGAACAACATGTTGACTTAACAAAGGTCCCTCCACAACTGGTGACCGGTCACATTGGACAGGGGAAACCACTATCACACTGCAGCTGCTTTCAGAAAGGAACTACATGAGGGTACAGTTTGGGGAACTGTCAGCAGGGAAGCAAAGTGACAGTCCTGGAGTCATTGGCTCTTTGGAGATACATCTGCAAATTAAATGTGTCTTTGAGGCAGCTGAGTACAGAAGACAAGATCTCTGAAGCGCCCAGATATGAGATTGGGGCACCTGAAGTACAGAGCACAGGACAGTAAGGTTAAAGGCTTAATGCCAGACAGATATAAATCCTAGAGCTAGGCTAGTAAATTAATAATCTTATTCTACTAAAGTAATTGGTACAGGATCATGATGCTGCAATATTATGTAGAATATGATGCAATGATTTTGTATATAAGAAGAATCCTAGGAAAAGAAGTGAAATAAAATGACTTCACTTGAAATCCAGTGAACCTCAGAAAATAAGTTTTGAAGGGATGTACCTGTCTTTGCACATTGTTTCTATTTTGCCAACAGGCATGATTCCACCCAGTGCTATTTACAGGCAGGGTTGGACAAAGGGTGGTGGGAGGACAATTCCCTCATGAGCTCTGCAGAGCAAACAGAACAAAAGAGCAGCACAGAGCTGTCAGAGAGACTGGTGAAAAGTTGGTGTAGTCCTTGGTGTAGAGCTGCCAGGAGGCCAGCTCAGCTAATGAATTTAAAGTTATAATTTGTGAGCTTCATTCCTAGGGAATCTGCAGGCTCAGCCCATGCAGAAGTCACTGTTATACGCTTGATGTTGTGCAGAGGTAGCTTGACAGGATGCTCCTCTATGATAGATGCACATCTTTTTCTTTTAAAGCGTGATGAAAGATAGAGCATCCTACAAGAGCAGGGGAGGGAGCTCACATACACGCAACTGCTGTGCTGCAGTTGTAACCACAACAGGTTTTCCATGTGTGAGTTGTTACCCTGTGGAGAAGAGAGGCAAACTCTTGCACGCTTCCTAGAGTAAAGCCTGTGCTCCTGCAGTTGTCCACCATGCAGCTCCCATATACACCCAGCTGTGCCCTGGGCATGAACCAAAGAGATGAAGGTGGTGGACAGGGACACATCTGCGAGGCAGAGCCCAGAGAGCAGGGAAAGGGATAGGGCTGAGGTCTTAGTTTAGGAAAGGATAGCTTGAAGAGGGAGCAGGAGCCTGATGTGCTCTTTGGGTTTCATAAGTAGTAACTACAACTATAACTACTGGTGGTGAGTGATTGAAATTTGGCCTGCAGTGAGGAAGTAATAATAAAAAACCCACTGTGTGATAACAACTTCTATTAAAATCCCAACATTTATATTTAAGTAGGTGGAAATGAAACACAGTTCTCTGCAACCTACCATCTCCTCACTTATATTATAATTTAACTAGTTACAGGTGATATATACAGAAGATGTTTATAAACTGACAGGCATAAACAGAGAGCATCTTACTAGAAAGCTTCATCCACTAAGACACAAGCAGTTGTTGTGGAAGACTATGTTGTCCAAGCAGTCTGTGTCACAGAATAGATACGAGAGGTCTGAATTTCAGGTTATGCTAGTTACACTTCGTTATTCTGCACAACTTCTCTTTCAGGGATTTCAACATACCCTACCTGATGCATCACCACTGCAAGAACTATCATTATGTGACTTTTAGTCTGTGCATCATGAGGAAAAACAACATGCAGTTTTCCTAGAGTCACACAGCAAGCCAGGGCTAAACATGGCTTCAGTGCCAAGATTTCCTTTCCCCCCTGCATGTGCTGTAATGGTTGGCTTCAAAGGACTGCTTTAAAGGATCATATAATGGACACTGCTCTCTCCTTATGTTTTTTTTTCTGTTAGATTAAATCTGTCATGCTCTTTCTCTCATACCACACATCAAGGAACATCCTTAGACCTCTGAAAATAAAACACAGGCTAGCTGTTTCTGAACAAAGACCTGGTCAAGCTTAACTTTGATCTTTGTCCTCTACTACAAAGACGATACGTGCTACTTTAAAGTAGAGGTTGTTTCACCTGCAGGGAATGCCCACTGCAAACATCCCTATGGAGGAACAGACTGTTGAGGTAAAAGGTGGGAAGGATCTTTCTTACAGAATTGCCATTTTTTCTGTGACAACAAGAAACTGGATAGAAACCTATAACATATTCCTTCCCTGTGCTGCTAACCCATAAAAACCCAATGGAATCATGCCTGAATATCCCACATAGCTTGATATATTTTATACCTTTGTATCTGCTTTTCACTTTTATTTACTGCTGACATTATTTTGGACTTCCTGGGTTCCTCTTGAGAGCTGCATTTCATAGATTTGTCATTATGGCTTTAGATTTAAGCTACTGAGATGACCCCAATTTTCACAAAGGCTGTCTCTAAATGTTTCCTTCTAGCTCACATCAGGAGCAAAATCAAACACCCAAATCCCTGCCCTCTTTTTTGTTTGTATTTTATGATCTATAAAAGTGCTTTGTATGTTAATGTGCACAGAAAAACAGTGCAGAGTGGGATGCCTTTGAAGTGAAAGGTTTGGATTAGTTTTGAAATCAAAAGCCTTTTTAAAGGAGAGACTGAAAGAGAACCCGTGAAGCTGAGTGATCAGGTTAGTCTTCTGCAGTGCTGTTCATCGAAGAACTTCAGAGGCTTTGGCAAGCATTAGGCACATCTGTAAAATTAGTTGAGCCTATATAAAGTTGCCTACACTAGCACCTACCATCCACACGTAAGCCAGAGTAGCCTGCGCTTCAACTGACACAAAGCACACGTACACTGGCAGGGAAAAGGGAGAAGGAAAGTCTTCCAGGAATAAGTCCAAGTTCAGCTGCTCCCTTCCAGTCTGGAGCCAAAGAGTTTAAATAACTGCTGAGGATCACCTGCTTAACTTCACTTTTACAGGACTGGCAGCACTGTCAGTCTGTCAGGTACCACGTCTCAGGAGAAAGGCAGGAATTGAGAGCTGAGATAAAAGGTTCAGTCATGTAATTGCACCACCATACTCGCCAGCTAATTCAGCTCCACATCAGGTTTTGTGGGTAATAAGTACTAGCCTTCAACTCACAAACAGGGAGACAGAGATGTAGAAAAAAGCGAGAGACTTTTTGGCTGCCAGAAGGCAAGTTGAAAAGCAACAAAACCAGATCCAGGACTCCTGATTGAAAGCCTCTTGTTGCTTTTGTTGTTCATGAAAAGTAATGCTAAAAGAATGGTGTATTTTTATCTTTTCAGGTGATCATTTCATCACTTAAGAGCATGATAAAAGTATTATTTATTCTTATTAAGTGTCCCACCCACTCATTTAACCCAAAGGTATAGAGGGGATAAAATTCATGCAAGAAACAAGAACTTACCTCGTGCTGATGTTCAAGATGTAACCCTGATAATAAAACCAGTGCTAATGACAGCAACTACAAACCTGAACAATATACCTATGATGTGCTAATGAACCAAGCTAATTATAAATCCCTGTTCAATGTAGACATGAGGGGGAGATTTTAAAAGGTACTGATACTTTTCATCAAGGTATCTCATAAAGCAAAGAATCATCTTGCAACTACATAGTCTAGTGTGAGGTGCCCTTGCTCATGGAAGGGGGCTCGAACTAGATAATCTTAAGGTCTTTTCCAACCCACATCATTCTATGATTCTATGAATTAAGACTGAGGCATAAAAGTCCAAATACTTGTATTTCAACCCTTCTCTGTCTCATTCTTTTGGCAAGACAAAAATCTTTCTACCCCAGCTGCAGTGTTTGGCTGAAGTTCCTTTATCTCTTGGAGGACTAAAAGGTGAAACATGTATTGCCTGTACAGTATTTTGAGATCTGGCTCCTGTGAAATATAGCAAGAAAAATTATATTGTAAGAAGTTATGATTACTTTAGCTGCTTATAAAGCTTATAAAGCACATACTTCAGCTGCCGGGGCTCACAGTCCAGTCCAGGTAAGAGCAGTCTGGCTGTCTGCCTGATATCATCACTGTCCACAGTTAAACTGCGCCGGTGCTCAGCGTAGGTGATGGCCACTCTCATCCACTCCATCAGCGGTGGCAGAAGCATGAAGGGTCTGTGCAAACAAGGAAAAAATCCAGTATAGTTAATATTGGCCTGGTATGTTGCACACTTAATCACTTCCTCAGCATGCTTGTGGGAGGCTGGCACAGCTAAAGCCCACCTGCAGGGGCAAACTCTGTCCACTCAGCAAGACTGGCAGGTCACAGCTGGAACTGCTCAGCCTTGGTTAGTTGAACTGCTTCTAACCCAAAATGGGGTCATGCCAGGACATGCTGGTTTCATGCAATACATGGGAGGAAACAGGGCTGCACTGAATATAAGGGACCTGCTTCTACTATTAGTAGCTATAGGTCAGGCCCTGCTAGCTCAAGTGGCCAATGCTTTGGTTTGGATACAGCTTATACAATAATTGTGCCTGTGGTTCTAAATATTCCATATGTACAGGCTGCTCCACTGCTTGTTTAGTTAACACTTGTTTGAAACTTCAGTTAAGCCAGGCTAATTCAGTGCTACCTCCATTGACCGTTATGTTACACTACCACTATTGGATGGCTTTTTACATCCTACATTTCCTACATGCAGAGCTCAGGTCTCCATTCGTGACCCCCCAGACTGCAGCAGAACTGGTGCAGCTGTGTTTTAATGTGAACTGTTTTGCTGGGAAGGAATGAGTAGAATTAAAGAGATATCAGCTAACACAGAGACACCGCTGCATAAGAATAAATGTACATTATTTAAATTGTAAGCTGTTTGTAGAAAAACAAGTTCCTAATTTGTACAGCATCCAGCAGAGTGAGGTTTTACTCAATAGGAAGTGTTGCAAGGCCATAAAGGAATATAAATAAGGTAATAATAATAGCTACAATACCCATTTGGGATACCTTATGAAGAGACCCCCTTACTCCTGCTGTAAGAATGAATGCAGCACCGAGATTAGACATGAAGATATGGGTAGCATAATACTCTCATACACAACACATCTCATCCATCCTCTCAATATACAGCCAGAGGGATGGATTATTTGCTTGATTTTTCTCCAAGGCTGCCTGTCACCCTGGTGGAAGGCTCAGAACTGTAGCTGTAATTGAAAATACCCTTCTCATTTCCAGTAATGAATTTATTAATGCTGAAAAAAAAAAAAAATCCCTTTTCATTTAAGCATCCACGAGGAATAACTGAGGGGAAAAGGTACCGATTCCTTTCCAGAGTTCAGAGAAAGACACATACCAAAAACTATAAAATGATGTTGCTATTAATGAAAGCAGCTGCTCCCATGAAAGGCATTTTAAAAGCTGTGTGTGTATGTGCCGGTGTGCACACTGTTAAGAACCATTTATCAATAATGGGATTTGCAAGCTGAACTCTCCTTGTATGACTTTGAGCATCCTTCAGGGTGAAATAACTCCACTCTGTACAATATTTGCCATCTGTTTCCATTTTACCAGTTGCAAGGTGCACTCTAAACCAACACCATTATTGCTTTACACACACACACACTATTTGTCCCTCTGCTACTTCTTTTCCTATGAGTAACAAAGCAGCAGCTACAAAATCAGAGATCTTTTTAAGCATCTGAGCCATCCTGAATTGCCAATCATAGAATCATAGAATGGTTAGAGCTGGAAGGGATCTTACAGAAAATGCAGTTCCAACCCCTGCCACAGGCAGGGACACCTTCCATTAGACCAGGTTGCTCCAATCCCCATCTGATCTGGCCTTGAACACTGCCAGGGATGGGGCAGCCACAGCTTCTATGGGTAACCTGTGCCAGTGTCCCACCACCTTCACAGCAAAAGATTTCTTCCTAATGACTAATCCAAATCTCCCCTCTTTCAGTTTAAAACCATTCCCCCTTATCCTATCTCTACATGCCCTTGTAAAAAGTCCCTCTTGAAAATGACCCAGTAGTTTTGTCAGTTGAAAGACTTTCTGAAAGTCCAGCTTGAATTCCCTGAACCATTTAGGCTTTCTACCTTGTCCTGGACACATGGGATGGGATGAATCATTCCAGAACAGCCAATTCCCTGAGGGGACAAGCAGCAATCATCAACAGGCATTTGGGAGATGCCTTGCAGCAGTCCGTTCCAGAGAACTTCAATCCTTATCTTGGCTACAGAGGAGGCATTTACACCCTTTTAAACTCAGGTACTTAAGGGAGGAGCCTAAATTAGTTATCTCGATTTTCTATGTACTCAGTAGAGCCTCTAGTACAGATTTCAAAACTCCCTAGGTGTGGTGAGGACAGACAGGTAGGGTAAAAGCACCAGAATTAAATAGTCATATGGGGTGAACAGCTCAGGAGAAATGGAAAAGCTCATCCTACAAGTGATTATATCTGACACCTTTTGTGGTAGATAAGCTATTTAGGCCACATCACAGCTTCCCTGATGGGAACACTGTTGGCCACAGAACCATGTGGATCCAGTCAAACCTTAGTAACTTACACCCGGCACTGGGCAGCAAGAGACTGTGGTCAGCCAACAGCAAATACCATTGAGTCTGCACCAGAAATAACACCTAACATGGAGCAATTTCCATTCTGTAAAGAATTCACATGTGCCAGGGTTATAAATGGCTTCCATGCACAAGCAGACCTTGAATGTGGAAAACCTGGTTTGGGAGGAATGGGAAAGAGGAAGATTTGGTTTGTTTGTTCATCTTTTTTTAATCTCAACAGATTTTTCCAAAGGCTTTAAAACTCACAGCAAAACAGACTGCCCTGTTACCACCCTGTGCCCAAAGGAGAGTAGGCTTTGGACTGCAAAAAGTAATGTCAGGGAAGATGTTTTCCTCTTACTGCTATCCTCATCCATCCAAACCCCACCACTCACATTGCTGCTCAAGTTGGATAAATCATTATTCAATCAGGAGTGACTATAAAGAGTTCAGTTTCTCCTTTTAACCAGCTATTTCCTTTCTTCACACTGTGGACTTGCTCGTGGGTACAACAGCTCTATCTTACTTTGCTCATGGACACCACATCAGATAAGCAGCATTCTCACGTGAGAAGAGACATGCAGTTCAACTGAATGCAATGTCAACACTGGGTCACATTGCAGTAAGAAAATAAATGCAATTATTCCTTTTCTACAAAGTAAAGACAATTGGCAGCCCTGTGGCCCTTAACCTGGCCAGTTCTCTGCCTCTAGGGAAAGACTGATCATTTCACAGTCTGAAACACACTGGAGGAGGGGAAAGGGAGAAATCTTCATGGGAAATTAACTGGGAGATGCTGCAAGCTAAAGAATTAATTTCTGTCTGCTCCATGTCCTATACTGGGCATTTTCCTCTGGACTTTCTGACATTTAGAAGCATTTGGCAGCTCATTAAATTCTGCACATAAAGCAATCCAGCCCTGGCAAACTGTCATACTGTAGCAGCTCATCAGGGACACAATACTGTCTGTATTGCCACCATTGCTTTGTTCAGTTCCTGGCAGTGACGTCGTCTTCAAGTGATGCCCCATGTAAACTGGGAAAGTACACACAGCAGTGGAAAGTAAAACAGATGCTGCTCCCTACTACGACCTTGTAAAGAATCGCAGCAATGTCTGATACCATCATGTGCTGTCAATATTTTATCCCTAGGTTCTTTGAAATTTTCTCCATTTACAATTTGACAGCTGCTCCATTCCCAAGGAGATCAGGCTGGAGCTGGGAACGGACATTATTGTGAGCTTTTCCCCCTCATTTGAAGTAAAACACGTTGTTTTCCTTAGACATAATCAAGAAGGATGCCAGAGAATTTACAGCAAGTTGTAACTTTTTTCCTGGACAATGTACTACAGTCATTTGATTAGAATGGCCGAGGACATGACCAGCATGCGGAGATCACGTGTAGCAGTCCTTGAGGAGAAGCTATGGGATGTCAGCGTTCACTCACGGGTGCAAGTTACTCTTGGGGACATTCTGAATTGGACACAAGAGGAAAATTTTTCACAATACGAACAATCAGCCCTTGGAATTCCACTGGATTCCCCAACACTGGATAGTTCAAGATTCAGCTGGACAGGGTGCTGGTCCATCTTGTGTAGACCATGCTTTTGCCAAGAAAATGGACCACATGATCCTTGAGATTCAACCTGGAATTCTACGATCCATGATTCATGCATAATGAAGAAACTAGTTCCCAAAGCTTGCTCCTCTGAGGATCAAAGAATCATAGAATAATTACGGTTGGAAAGGACCTTAAGATCATCTAGTTCCAACCCCCCTGCCGTGGGCAGGGACACCTTACACTAAATCGTATCACCCTAGCCTCGCCCAACCTGGTCTTGAACATTGCCAGGGATGGAGCATTCACAACTTCCCTGGGCAACCCATTCCAGTGCCTCACCACCCTAACAGGAAAAAATTTCCTCCTTATATCCAGTCTAAACTTCCCCTGTTTAAATTTGAACCCGTTACCCCTTGTCCTATCACTACAGTCCCTAAAGAAGAGTCCCTCTCCAGCATCCCTATAGGCCCCCTTCAGATACTGTGCTGGTCACCACACAGCACCACACAGCTGCTGTGAGGTCTCCACGCAGCCTTCTCTTCTCCAGGCTGAACAGCCCCAACTTCCTCAGCCTGTCTTCATACAGGAGGTGCTCCAGTCCCCTGATCATCCTCGTGGCCCTTCTCTGGACTTGTTCCAGCAGTTCCATGTCCTTTTTATGTTGAGGACACCAGAACTGCACACAATACTGCAGGTGAGGTCTCACAAGAGCAGAGTAGAGGGGCAGGATCGGCTCCTTTGACCTGCTGGTCACGCTCCTTTTGATGCAGCCCAGGTTACGGTTGGCTTTCTGGGCTGCAAGCACACACTGAAGCTGGCTCATGTTCATTTTCTTATCAACCAACACCCCCAAGTCCTTCTCCACAGGGCTGCTCTGAATCTCTTCTCTGCCCAACCTGTAGCTGTGCCTGGGATTGCTCCGACCCAGGTGTAGGACCTCGCACTTGGCATGGTTAAACTCCATGAGGCTGGCATCAGCCCACCTCACAAGCGTGTCAAGGTCCCTCTGGATGGCATTCCTTCCCTCCAGCCTATCAAACGAACCACACAGCTCGG